ATTGACGACACATTTTCTCTAGTTTTTACGAGATTATTTGCATTGTTCTTATCGTCTCACAATATTAATATTTTTGGATCTATAGCATCTCTAGGCGTCTGTTGGTAATTCCGAACGGTAGCTCAGCAGCTAGCGCTTCAGACTCCCGTGCAGAAGGTCGTGGGTTCGATTCATCATCTTCACGAAATCCGCTCATGCGCTCCGTTGAGATTTTTCACCACCCCATTTTCGAGTGACCTTGAAAATATTTTGAATTTCCCGCGGAGGGGTGGTTAGGTGGTAAAAAGGGGCGGGGCTTAGCGTTTTGAATTTCCCGCCGCGATTTATAGGGTCCCCAATTTTTGGGGCCCCCAAAAAATCGGGGCCCAAAATATTTTACAGGGCCGGACCGATAGGCGGTGGTCTAAGGTGCCCGTATTCCTACTATGATGTAATAATATTATTATTACAATAATTAAAATTATAATAATTATTATTATAAGACATTCAAATTTGTATTGTGTTTTTGTTATTTTGTGTAAAAACTGTAATAAATCTACTAAAGATACTAAAGAAAAAATGTCAAAATTTACTAAAAACTAATTTTTTTTTAATCCGCCCATAAATAACTTACATACAAAGTTTTACTTCAAAACAAAGTTTGATAATTCAAAAACAAAAGCTCAATTGAAAAATATTTATTAGAAAGCCTAATTTAGATTGTCAATTTTTAGTAGAAACACCCTGTATTTATAACATTGATGTTTTACTTTTTTTTAAAAATTTTGAATTACCTGTTAATAACATAAAACACATAATAATAATAATAATAATAATAATATTTATTCATCAATCAAACCAGGTACATTTAAGCATAAAATACATGGTTTATGTGACTAGTAAAAAAAAACACAATGTGAATAAGAATTTACATAAAATATGGTGAAATTTAAAAATATACCTATGAATAAATTATTAATTAATAGTATAAAAGAATAAATAAAAGAACGCAAATCTAAAATATAAAGCACATTTTAAAAAGAATCATTAAAAAAATGTTCAATATTGTAATACATTTTATCATGAAATATTTCTGTTAATCTTTTCTTTAAAACAATTCTACTCTTACATTCGACGATAACATTTTGTTATAACATTTTATATGTTTGGGAAATATGTAATCGTGAAAATGGAAGTCTAATATTATTTCTCTCTATTATTTCTCTCTCTATAGATAGTATTGTAATTATGAATTTCGTTATTCTTAGAAAAGTTATCGATATTATCATGCACATATAAAATTAAATTTAAAATATAGACACATGGAAGCGTAAGTATTTTTTATTTTTTAAACAACAATTTGCATGAATATGTTGGACCCTTATCATCCATAGTTCTTAAAACCTTTTTTTGTCTAATAAAAATTTTATTAAAATGTGCTGACAAACCCCAAAAGATAAGTCCATAGTGTAAGTGGCTTTGGACAAGTCCAAAGTACATTAGCCTTAAGACTTCATACGATACACTGTCCTTTAGAAATTTTATAAGAAAGCAAACAGAACTAAGTTTTTTATCGAGAGCCTGTATATGGTTCTCCCAAGTTAATTTTGGATCCAATGATATTCCTAGGAACTTAATATTATTATCTACTTCTATAAGTTTATGACTAATTTTTATAAGAAGATCAAAGTTATTAGTTAGATTTTTTTGCATAAATCTCATTTGAAAAGTTTTGTTAGTTACTTGATATTAACCTTTTTTTAAGTTCCTATCTAAAAACATGAAAAACTTTTATTATTTTTGAAATAGTAAAATTAACAGAAAAACGATGATCATTTTTTTACAATTATAAGCGTAAAAAAATGATAATCGTTTTTCTGCCTTTAAATCTGCATCTGCATATATAATTTAAAAAATACATTGTCACAATTACTTATGTAGAAAACAATTTTATCTTACAATCAGTTTTAATAAATCGACCGTCATAATTGTAAATTTCATAAAACTCGACGCGTATTTAAACGAAAGAACAACTGTCTCTAGCGTGACGTCACACGGTGCGAGAGAGACAGCGCTACCATTCGCAACAGTATCGTGAGTTTAATTCAAATATTAAAATCATAGGCGAGACGTTGCCAAATTGTGCGACGCAACAACATACAGTATTTAAAAACACGTATATTGAAAAACTTATATTATCGCAACGCCCTCATCGTCAAATGGGTTGAACTAAATATACACATTTTTTCCATTTTTAGTATGTTGCTGCACATTTTTGTGTTCAAATTTTTCTAAATATTTAAAAAACGCAGGGTCGGACATAAAAAATTTTTGGTTACAAAAATTGGGCATTAAATTCTACACAGATCTGTATTAGCAAGAATCTTAGAAAGTGCTGGGATGAAGTAAATTTTAAGAAATAAGCGCTTGACATTAGTGCGTCAGATACACTGACGCAGTAAGGTCGTTGACGCAATAAGAATAGGGATTTTATAAATGTATGGACGCAGCAATGATAGAATTTTGTATATATATATATATATATATATATATATTTATATAAATGACCAGGACAGCGGCGAGATGTATCGTTTTTAAGTGAACAGTGCCGAGCTTGATACGTGTCTCCCGTCACCGACTGCCTGACACTGATGAGACCCAAAAGGGCTAAACAGTCTGCCTGTCAGTGTTGGTGGGTATGGTGCATTAGTAGGACTAAAAAAACGAGAAAAATAGTTTCCCTTTTTATAGGAACTCAAATTTGTATAAATTTTCGTAAAACTCAAAAATTAAATTTTTCGAATTATTCATCAAAATCAGATTCTGTTAAAATTAGTATGCATTGAAGTTTGACGATGAATATCTTTTAAACGCTTAATTTAATCGACAAATCATAGGAGACCATTTTTGTAGAGCAGTTAATTTCCTACAAAACTATGAGTTGCGCGATTCTTAAAAAAATTTTTGTAAGCGAGTTATAAAATTCATAAGCAAAACAGAAATTTCTCTTCAAATAATTAAACTTTAACCTTCGATATCTTTTTAACGGTGAGGTTTACGAAAAAATTGTAAGAGACCTTTTTTGTAGAGCGTTCGATTTCCTACAAGCATATGAGGAGACTTTTTTTAACGAGCAGTTGTCGAAGAGATATGAATTTTTGTTTCTAATACTGAGAAAAAAATGGAAAATTGTAAAGCGGAGGACCTTGTTATCAAAATTAAGAGCTCATGTTTGGTGAGAATTCTCTAGAGTTGTCTAGTACCCGATTTTTCAGAGTACAAAGTAAAAAAAAAATAGTCGGTTTTTTTGACCCACCCTAATATATATATATATATGTATTAATGTTTTTTCGGGATCTGCTCCGTGTTGTCGGTTTTTGGACTCCACGTCCACTATGTCAGTTTTAGAGAGTAAACTATTAAGAATTCACATTAGCGAGTTAAAAAAAAAACCCTCAAAACGACCCTATACCAAATTTTATTCAAAAATTGTAAGTAGGTACACAATAAATAGGTACTATTTACAAAAATTTATTATCCATAAAAAAAAACATTGAAATACAATTAAACTAATAGCAAAATGGTATAAATATTCTTATGCTTAGTTTTGAAAAATAAGAAACGCAAAAAACAAAAAATAAAGAATTCCAAAAATTCAGCTGAGAATCCGGAATTCGTCATAAATACAAAAAAACAGTATTCACAAAAAATTAAAGTTTGGTCTGGACTAATTAGAATCTAAAAAACCCATTCGCATTCAAATTACCCTCAAAGAATAAAGGACACACCAAACCAAACTTTAATTTTTCATCTATCATCTATAATCATCTAATGATTAGATGATTTACTTATTACATAATCTCCTAAATTTAAAGTTTTAACCTGGTTTTAACCAAGTATATGGTTCTCCTATTCATAACGCTGTTATAGTGAGAGAATGGCTAAATGAACAATTATGAAAATTGGTGGATAAGGCGAAACAGTCCTTTGATTGAGTGACGTCACTAGATTTTTTTCTTTGGGGTTTACTGAAACAAAAGGTTTACAAATCAAAGCCACAAACTGCACAGGAACTAGGGGCTATGGCAATACAAGCCAGCGCAGCATTACTTCAGAACAAATTCAAAAGGTAACTAATAATGTACGTAGAAGAATTATTAAGTGTATTGAAATAAATGGTGGATTAGTAGATGTGACGAAAATCTAATTGTAGAGAATGTTTGGAATTCTCTATTTTTTGTTTCATTGTTGTTTTAAGTGTATATTGCGTTTATTATTTTTTAAAACTAAACTAAGAATATTTAAACCATGTTACTGTTAGTTTAATTTTATTTTAATGTTTTTTTATGGATAACTTTACAAAATAAATTTTTGTAAATAGTAATTTTTGTGCATTTTTAATTTGGCTACAAAATCGTTCCTACTTAAAATTTTTGAATTGCTATCTATATTTAAATAACGATAATCTTTAAGTGATACCAAAATAAAAAATGTGTTTATCAAAGTTGTTAAAATTCATTAATTAAAGTCTTTAATTTAAGGACTCTCTTAGCAACTAAGTTAGTGAATCGGCCTGATTATCATAGAGTAGATTTAACACTTAATTGTATAAATTTGTCCGTAGATTAGTAAACATTTAAATGTTTAAATCTATACGGAATTAGTTAACACTACCATTTTTAAGTGTTAAAATAGTGTATTATCAAGAGGTTAAATAACACGATTTAAAGAACTTTTAACACTACGATGGTTATTTAAAATAATACTATTGTTGGTAAAAGTACTCTAAAAGTTGTTAAATTGACCGGCCCTTAAATTGACATGTCGCGACATAACGACCAACCTAATGTATACAGTACGGTTTTTTCTTCTTTCCAATCATAGCTGTCTCTAAACTTAAATGCTCAAAATTTTGTTGTTGCTTTGATAAAAAAACTGTTTATATTGAAATATTTAAATTAAATAAATTATTTGTAGATATATTTTTACCAAAAAATCGTCTTGTTTTCGTGCAATCGTTATAAATAGCCACATAAGAAAATCATTTTTGGTTAAAGGGATAAAACATCTTGGTACCACACTGATATATTAAATTAATTGTCATTAAAAATTGATTAAAAACACATCTTGTCAAACATAAAAATTTTCCTTTGGTAATTATTGGGGGGCTGTAAGTTAAAATTAAAGTGCTCGTTTAAAAAATGGAGCTAGTCTCCACTCCAAATCCTCATTTTATACCTGGGTAAGATGAAACAAATATTAAAAATAACAATTTTAAATAGATTTGTATTAGATATACAGGATTTTGCCCACAATACAAATACCGTATAGGTGATACTTTTGGTACGACCACTCATAAAGTCCTTTTGGATCCTACAGTGCACCATGCAGAAAAACTGGTACTTTCTGATAGAACCAGAGACGATTTTCAAGTAAGATAACTGTATTTTCTTACATTTCAAAATTAATTAATGTTTTTTCAGGTCTACAGACCTCCAACCAAAGATATTGAAATTGTAAACGACAGACTTGGTGATACAGTGTACAAACATCCTATGATACCAGGCTACGAAGGTAAACCTCACATGACACATTTTGCTAAAGATTCATATTTAATACGATTATAATATAATAGGTAATGCCACTAAAACAAATATATAAAATGTCAGCTGTTACTCGGTATCTAAGGTCTTAATTTGAAAACTATAAAAAGCTGGTCTTGTTTGAAATTGAACAAAGATTTCAAAAAATTCTGAAAAAAGTTCGAAATAATTAGTGACTTATATAATATAAATAAATTTGCCTTTTATATGAAAGCACAGTAAAAAATGTTTATGTAAAAATACATTGATTATCAATGTATTTCTGTGACCATTGATTTATATGTGTTTTTTACATGTAAAATGTTTTTTTACAAATGAGTTGTAATCTTACATTGTATAGGTAAACTCAAAATTTGTAAATTTACCAAATGGCTATGTGTTATCACAATGTAAAATTACAAATTATTTGTAAAAATGCATAGTACTTTTACTTTATGTATACTACAATTTGAAATTTTACAAATTGTTAGTGTTATTACATTTGTAATATCCCATAATATATTCGTAACTCGTCAGTGATTTTACAACGCATATATGTAACTATAGTTATAGTTATATATTGCAATACCGCTTAGGTACTACTAACTAATAATATAAATATATTTATTAAAAAATTTTGTTAAAATAAATAAATGGAAAAAAACCATAGGTACACAATGCAAATATGTAACTAGTATGCCGCTTTTCGCCACTTTAGTATTACTTATATGAATATCTAACGCCGCTGGATTAATTTTGTTACGCAGTTCTTTCATAAAATCGGACGATTGCACCTCTGTATTTGATTTAATAAACAGGCCAGCCGATTGTTTATTTACCTTTGTTTTTGTTTTCTCGCTGTAAAGTAGCGGCAAGGTTCTATTTTCAGGAATGACGATTATGTTTTTTGCTGATATGTCTTCTAACCTCATCTCTTGTAATTTATTTACCTTTTCTAGTTCACAAACTAACTTTTTGTACAATAATAATTCACGATTAAGGGACTCTGTCTCTGCTGAATTTTCATTTATCACTTGAACTTGACTTGGTGCGTTAGATGCACTTTCTTCCTAATTGCACTTTTTGCACCACGTTTCACTAACATTAAAAAGTTTGCTAACCAGATCAAAACACTTGCTATGAATAACAAAACCGCAGGATTTACATATGATATAATTTCGAAAATTATTACCACAAAAATCACACTTTTTCGTAATTTTTTGACTACCACCCGCCCCAGAAGTAGATGTGACAGATGTGACAAATGAAAATTAAATTGACAGATGACACAACACAGGTGACAGATGACAGGTGGCAGATGGAAGGTGACAGGTGAAAGATAAGAAATGGCAGATGACAGATGATATGTGACAGATTACAGGTGACAAATGACAGGTGAGATGACAATTGACAGATGACAGGTGACAGGTGACAAATGACAATTGACAGATGACATGTGTCCGAGCGGACAACACCCTGTATAACAATATTGTCATGCGGCATAGCGTACATACGCAGAGGAGAAGGTCGCGAGCAATGATAGCAGAAGACTTGAAGTGATACCGTGTAAAGGTGCAAGCTATTAAACAATTTTAATTATGTTATGTATTCTGTAAACTTTATGTGAAAGTGTGGGCCCACTATTGTGCGTGTGATAAACTTAAATGTGAATTTTAACAATTTTACTCCAACTGAAGCGTGCGAATCCAGAAAATCCACGGGGAACACAACATCTGTACAGTCCACTAAAATAAAACGGCGACCAATAAGGTAAGCCCCCCACATGATCCTTCTACCGGATAAAAGAACCGAAAAAAGCGTCAAAAAATTCTGGATAATCGAAATAAATGTCAAAAAAATAGGCAAAAATCCCATTTTTTCCATCCTTTTATCATAATCACATCTAAAATATATAATTTTAAATTAAATTATTCAGTTTTAAGGGGTTAAAACATTAAAAATCTAAAATTTTATTCATTTTTTGCGAAAGAACGTAGGGCGTTACTTTCAAAGAAATTTAACAAAAACTAACGCATACAGTGGCCTTGAAATTTTCGTCGATTTTAAATACAAGCCAGCTGCACTCTTTTAACACATTAATATCTCTTTCTAATATTTAAAACAAATTTATTGCCTTGATTCGCTATCTCGCTTCTAAAAGTGCGTATTATTCTCCTTATTTAAGCAAAAAACATTATCGCAAACAAAAATATTGTGTTGCATTAAAACTGTCAAAATATCTAATTTTAATTATTAATAATCATTACTAATACTAACATTAACTGTAAAAATAAAATAAAATAAAAAATAAAATAAATTAATTAATCAACTAATATAATTTTAGTCTATATCAAATAAATTACTGTTTGTCTCTATCTATTATTAAATATTAAAGCAATAATATATAGCATAATTATAATAGGTACTATATCATAATGGAGACTTTTAAAAAGCGTCGGGCCTTAATGAAGGGCCAATTAACACGATTTAAAACATACATTGAAAAGTGTAAGCTAAACCCAACCAGTGTTTATGAAATATCTGCGCGTCTTGACAAGGCCGAGGCTCTGTGGGCCGAATTTAGCGAATGCCAAACAAACATTGAACTATTAGATGATAACGAAGTAGTTGAACGCGAGTCATTTGAGGAAACATTTTTTACGGTAGTGGCGGAAGCCAAAGAATTAATAAGTAACTTAAATAAAAGTACATCTAGTACAACCTCGCGAACGGGTACGCCTTTGGGATTTAACATTGACAATTTACAAACCAATATTAAGCTGCCAACGTTGCAATTAACTGAATTTAGCGGTGATTACAAGAAGTTTCAGGAGTTTAGGGATATTTTTGAAGCCCTTATAAATTCAAACGCGCGCCTTAGCAATATACAAAAGTTTTATTATCTAAAGTCAGCTTTAAAAGGTGAAGCAGCTCAGGTTATTCAAAATATAAAGGTATCTGATGCAAATTACGATATTGCGTGGGAACAACTGGTTGAAAGATTCGATAACAAGCGAATAATTATTAACTCATTTAAAAGCTATATGTGAACTCCCGGTTATAATACGCGAATCTGCCACCGCACTGCGAAGCCTGCTAGATACCTTTCAAAGGGATAAACGCTGTTTGGAGGTTTTAGGTTTACAGCTGGATACTTGGGACTTGATGTTAATTTTTCTGGTATCGGCCAAACTTGATCCCAGCTCTAAAAGAGAGTGGGAAAACACCATAAAGGACGGAAAACTGCCAAAATTGAATGACTTTATTAAATTTCTCAAAGAACGTTGCAATGTTTTAGAAAATCTAAACAGTAATATTAAATCTACTCAAAACTTTCAAAAATCATTTTCTCATTTTTCAAATCAAGGGCAGAATTGTCCAATGTGTAAGCAGAATCATTCTATAAGATTCTGCAAGGAATTTATTAATTTAAGTCCCAAGGAACGTCACGCGGCTGTTAAAAGACACAGTTTATGTGTAAATTGTTTAAGAACTAATCATGTTACATCTGAATGTAAAAGTCGCCCTTGCTTGCGCTGCAATAAATATCACAACACTATGTTACACTTTAACTCTAATACGAACTTTAAATTAAATACTAATAATAATGAAAATCCTAAAAATTCCTTTGAAATTCAACAAGGTAGTCCAGGGGCATTTGAATCAAATAATGTCTTAAACTCTGTTCGGTCTTATGACAATTCTGGTAAATCAGGCTTAAATGATCCTATAAAGTCCTTTGAAATTCAACAAGGTGGGGCCGGGGGTCCAGGGACATTTAAATCAAATACTGTTTTAAATTCTATTCGGTCTTATGACAATTCTTGTAAATTACGGTTAAATGATCCTAAAAATTTCTTTGAAATTCGACAAGGTGGGACCGGGGGTCCAGGGACATTTCAGCCTCATAATAATACAAAGCGCACTCATACATCTGATGATGATCTCGACCTGCATTCCTTTGAAACTCAACAAGGTGGGACAAGCTGCCCCAGGTTAAACACACTTAATCCCAATGCTCTTAACGTAAATTCACAAAATGATATAAATTACTTGAACAATTCTAATTCTTTAGTTTTATTAGCTACGGCCGTGTGCTATATACACGACAGAGATGGTAAGCTTGTTAAATGCAGATGCTTACTTGACAATGGCTCTCAGAGCAATTTTATGACATTCGATTTGTTCACCAAACTTAAGTTTAATTTTGAAAAAATAAACATGCCCATCATGGGTATCAACGAAAAGCAAACCAATATCTCCCTAAAGACATACACTTGTATTCAATCCATTTATAACGAGTTTGCGGTAAAATTGGATTTTTTGATTTTAAACAACATAACGGGAAATATACCCTCACACACAATACCAAATATAAAATTAAAAACCCCAAATGAAATAAATCTGGCTGATCCCGAATTTTTTAAATCTCAAAAAATCGATATTCTCTTGGGCGCAGCTGTTTTTTTGGAACTTGATTTGTGAGGGTCTTATAAAATTAGGGCCAAATCAGCCTATTTTGCAAAATACCCATTTGGGATATATAATAAGCGGTCCTCTCAATTTAAATAAAATAAGGAAATTTTCAAAATCTTGTTTACTATCCATAAACGAATAAATTGAAAATTTCTGGAAAATAGCCTGTTTGGGGGAATCTTTAACACGGTGGTCGGGAAGACACTAAAAGTTTGCTTACATTGCCGACAAAAACTATTTACATAATTTTCTTTGTTTGGACTTATATTCTCAGGAAATCATTATCGAGAAAACGAATCTGCTCCTTTTTGCATTTTAATAATGACAAACCGGGATTTTATGTCAGAATGATAAAAAAATACACAAGAGGAAAATGTGGTCTTAATTTTAATCTTTGTAAACTGCATGATTCCTAGATCTATAGGAAAGCACTGGTTGACATTTACCAGTAGATGTCAACGCATTGACATATACCGTACAATAAGCGCGTTCTTATTAATACCAGTTTTTCTTGGACCAAGAATCTTGTAGGTACGATTAGCCTGTCGGGAAAATTGGAATGTAAAATATAAATTATTAATTTTTGTTGTTTATAGGTGTATTAAAAGTAATTTGAAAATGCCAACACACCCGTATTATAAGTGCAGTCATAAAGAAAATCGGCAAAAAGTGTGTGGGCCCTGTGGACAAAAAATTATACTGGGAAAGAAGAAATTAATTCATTTCAATATCACAGAAAGCATTTATAAATTTATCAAAGAGTTTGTCGATGACAGTTACGATTTATCTAGTGAAAAATATCCTCTGAGCATTTGTTCAACGTGTCGGAAGACGCTATCTGAGCATAAAAAAGGTATAGTGAATAGGCCAATTCAAAAAATGCCAAACTATGCTGATATTCTATTACCGAAAGTTACTAGATCTGAAAATAGTATAGACTGCAATTGTTATATTTGTTTGAGAGCTCGATGCATAAACCATTCCAAAAATCAGTTTGTTTTGGGACAAAAGCGAAACTTGAACAACAATATAGATAAATTAAATGGGCTGTACGGCTCTTCAACTCAAAAAATAAATTATACCAAAACAGTCAATAAACCTAACGTGAAAAGAAGTGCGAAAAAAGTGATTAAATTATGTGAGAAATGCTTCCAAAAAATAGGCAACGGCCTTAATCATTCGTGCGCGCACACATGCGAACCGCAAACCCATACCATTCGACAAAATGTTATGAAATTGGTTAATGAACTACCTGATAAACAAAAGGAGCATGTAGCCTCATCAATTTTAAAAGATATATCTAATAAAGTCGTTGGGGATTCAATGCGATTGAGTACCGGAGGTCGTGGAAAAACTATTTATTTTAAAACAAATGAACCCAACGATAAAATTTTATTTTCAACGGGAGACCTAGATTCTTTCCACGTGAATTCTGCAGTTTCCACTAACCATATGAGAAAAATGAGTTCTTTCATACGCAAGACTGCAGGTAGAAAATCTGTACCTGTAAAGTATGAACAACACATTAGAGACAGATCTCATTTATTAGATACATTTTATCAAAAAGGCTTATTTGAATTTGAAACGGCGGATGGAAATTACCAAACAAGGCCTGTGGTTTGGGCTAACGTAAATGAATTATTAGAAGAAGTTTTGAAAGAACGTAACTTAATCGGTTATTATGTTGTAAAAGTAATGGCAGATGGTGGGCAAGGCTTTTTTAAAGTATCAATGTCCATAATTCCTGATTCAGAAAATGGTACAGTAGAAGATTATTCAGATAGCTTATCTAATGAAGATATCATTTACAATATTTCTTCAAAAAAAAGGAAATTTAATCAAGAAAAATTAGGATACAAATCAACCAGTGTTAAAAAATTGATTATGATTTGCATCGTTCCAGATATCAAGGAAACGTACAATAATATAAAATTTCTCTTTGATTTAGTAAAACTGAATGAAGTTTCTTTTAAGTTTGTGTCCGATTTCAAGCTTCTATTAATAATTAATGGACAACAAACAGCCACTTCCATGTTTCCGTGTCCGTATTGTTCAATTAGTCTAAAAGATTTAAGAAATTTCCATAAAATAGCTGACTGCCAAATATTAGGTCACGATAAATCAAAGTCACTAAAAACGTATGGAGATTTAAAACAAGATTGTGCTAAGTATGTTTCTCTAGGTAAGAGCAAGAAGATGTCCAAAGAATCGCACAGTGTAATAAATGAGCCAATTTTTTATGAAGATAAAGATGTTAAAGTATTAGAGAAATGCTATATTCCAGAATTGCATTTGCTGCAAGGCTTTGTTAACCACCTTTTCTGGAATGGGTTGGTACTAGTCCTAGGTAGAGAAAAAGCACTGATATGGCCTCTAAAATTAAAAATTATTTCAAAAAATTATCACGGGGAAATCTTTGAGGGGAACGCATGTAGAAAATTACTAAAAGAAGCTGACGCACTATGTGATAAAATAATATATGAAAATGTCGGTATATTGGCTCTTGTACCATTTATATCTGCTTTTAAGGCTATGAATAAAATGGTAAATTTATGTTTTTCCACTGAAAGAAGAGGCTCTATTGATGCCCTGGATAAAATCATCGAAGAGCTAAAAAAAGCCTTACTAGCAACAGGAGTATCAATAACTTTAAAAATACATGTATTGTTAGAACATGTTAAACCAACTTTAAGCTTATTAAAGAATTCAGAAGGTCTTGGAAAGTGGTCGGAGCAAGCCGGCGAGTCCGTGCATCGAGAGTTCCTAAGCTTTTGGGAAAAACATAAAATTAATTTAATTAACGATCCTTCTTATTCTCAGAGATTAAAAGCTGCAACCGTTCAATTTTCATCATTTCACATTTAAAAAAACAAGTTCTTGACAAATTCTGTTTTGTATACTTAAATGATTTTTAAATTATCAAGATTAAGTTTCTGAGCTTATTTGAATTATATAAATTATGTCTTTTTCAAAAACTATGTTATAAGATTTACAAAAGTAAAGATTGTTTATATTTTTATTAACATAAAAATAATTTTTGAATTTTTTTTTATTTAATGGCAAATAGTAAATGCTAATTAGTAAAAAGTAATTTCGGATTGAGTTTCAACAAGTCCAAATATTTAAACATAAATTTCTGACATATTATTTTGGTTTGTCATCAATAAATTGCAAAAAGGAGCAGATTTGATTTTTGGGCAAGAATTTCCTAAATATATAAGTCAAAACAAAGTTAAGTGTGTCACTAGATTTTGTCGGCAATGTAAGCTAACTTTTTTTATCTTCCCGACCACCGTGTTAAATATCGCATTAAAAAGATTTCACGCGGTTGAGAGAAAATTTAAAAGAGATAGGGAACTCCAAGTGGCTTATAGCGCATTTATGACGGAATATGTAAAATTGGGGCACATGTCCGAAATTCCTAGTAGTTTGATTAATCAAAAACCATCTTATTATTTGCCACATCATGGCGTATTAAAAGGGGATAGCCTGACCACTAAGTTGAGAGTGGTGTTCGATGCAAGTTGCAAAACAACAAGTAACATTTCCTTAAACGATATTTTGTATACAGGTCCCAAAATTCAAGAGGATATTTTCTCAATTCTATTGCGATTTAGAAAGCATAACTTCGTGTTTATTGCCGATATTGAGAAGATGTATCGGCAAGTTTTGGTTGACAGCTCGCAGCGAAATTTGCAGCGAATTGTATGGCGTAATTCGCCAACCGAAAAATTGAGACATTTTCAGCTCAATACTGTTACTTATGGAACAGCATCAGCTTCATTCTTAGCAATACGCAGCTTGCATCAGGCAGCCATACTCAACAAGGAGGCTTATCCCGAGGCGCATAAAATCATTCTTACAGACTTTTATGTGGATGACCTCATTACGGGATCAGATTCAATCATTGGCGCATCAAAACTAAAGGCTGATATAACAAAAATATTAAGCGGAACAGGCTTTACCTTGAGAAAATTCTTGTCAAATAAAAAGGAGCTTATCTCCGATACAGAAACTACAAATACTCCATTTTATGCTATTTCAGACGATGCTAGCGTCAAAACGTTGGGAGTGCTTTGGGATGCAAATAACGATTGTCTAAGGTTTAGTGTAAAATTTATCGAACAAGCAAAAGTCACGAAAAGACTCATGTTGTCAAAAATAGCACAAATTTTCGATCCTTTGGGACTAGTGGGTCCAATCGTCGTAACTGCTAAAATTCTACTTCAAAAATTGTGGAAATCTGGGGCAGGTTGGGATGACGATATCCCACTCGATATAAAAAATTCGTTTCTTGAGTTTCAAAGGGATTGCTTAAATCTTAACAAATATCAATTACCTAGACATGCATTTGCCCCTACTGTTAAAAATATACAATTGCACGGGTTCTGCGATGCCTCGGAACAGGCCTACGGGGCTTGCATATATGTCAGAGTCACAGATAAGGATGAAAATGTGCATATTGGTTTATTATGTGCAAAATCCAGGGTAGCACCGCTTAAAATAGTAAGTCTTCCGCGATTGGAACTTTGCGGTTTTTTATTGTTAACTCGATTGTTAAATCAAGTCACTCTTGCCTTAAAATTAAATAAAGTTGAAACATATTACTGGACGGACTAAAAAATCGTACTCGCTTGGCTGGCGGCCGAACCATCAACGTGGAAAACCTTTGTAGCCAATAGAATCTCTGAAATTCAAACCACGGCCAGGGATACAAACTTTAATCACGTAATGTCGGCTGAAAATCCAGCCGATATAATTTCTCGGGGCGCGACAGTACACGAATTATTCAATACGCCACTTTGGTTTCAGGGCCCACCTTGGTTAAAAACAAATAAAAGTAACTGGCCTATCGCAACGGTTAATGAACCAATAGATCTGCCGGAGACTCGTAGTTTCGCCGTTCTTGCCAATAATTCCGACAGTTTCGATATTTTTAACAGGTATTCTAAATTTAATAAATTAAACCGGGTTGTAGCCTATTGTATAAGGTTTTTTAACAATTTAAGGCATCCCAATAGCAAACAAACAAGTGAATTGTCTGTATCCGAATTGTCGGATTCCCAAAATAAATTAATCTTGCTGGCCCAAGCACATCATTTAAGATAGAAATCGCGGCACTCAAAAATAAGAGTCAATTAAAGGCCACAAGTAACATTCTCAGTCTAAGTCCCTTCATTGATAAAAATGGTGTCTTAAGAGTAGGAGGCAGATTGAGGCATTCAGATGTACCATACGCCCAAAAACATCAAGCGTTACTATCACAATCCCACGGATTAACGAAATTAATTATTACACACGAACATGAAAAATTATTTCACGCCGGACCACAAGCTACTTTAGCTGCGCTGAGGCAACATTATTGGATAATTAACGGACGGGGGGTTGTGCGTGGCGTTGTACGAAAGTGCCTAATTTGCTTTAAGGCAAAACCAATTTTAACTAAACATTTAATGGGTGATTTACCAAGGAAACGCGTAGTACCTAATCGACCATTCTTAACTTGCGGGGTAGATTACGCCGGCCCATTTAATATTAAAGACGGTACTACTAGATCTAGAAAGCTTGTTAAGGTTTATGTATGCCTGTTTGTATGTTTTAGTACAAAGGCAGTACACTTGGAGTTAGCGGGTGATTTGTCAACAAATGTTTTCCTTAACTGCCTTAAGCGATTTATGTCTAGACGCGGGTTTTGTGCGGATATCTACTCGGATAACGCTACAAATTTAGTTCGCGCTAAAAACGTCCTTGATAAGACTATGTCTGACCCGGCGGTATTAAATTATTTAGGCGAAAATCGTGTTAATTGGCACTTCATTCCGCCTAGATCACCCCATTTTGGGGGGCTCCATGAAAGAGCCATAGGCTCTTGCAAGTATCACTTAAGGAGAATAGTAGGTGACAAAAATTTTAATTACGAGGCCTTCCTCACAATACTTACACAAGTAGAAGCCATTTTAAATTCGCGTCCTTTAACGCCTCTATCAACTGACCCACACGATCTTAACCCCTTAACCCCAGGGCATTTCCTAATCGGGTCCGAATTGATCTCCTTACCTGAACATGACCTAACCGATATTCCTTTAAATCGCCTGAATAAATTTCAATTACTACAACAATGTATACAACACTTCTGGCGTCGATGGCATTCCGAATACTTAACTACCCTACAAGCTAAAACAAAGTGGAAGCAAGCACAGGGAGATTCCATTAAAATTGGTACAATGGTTCTAATTAAGGAAGATAACGTTCCACCAATGAACTGGCCTTTAGGACGAGTAAGGGAGGTGTTTCCAGGAAAGGATGGTATCGTCAGGGTGGTAAATGTACAAACAAAAAATGGGTTGTTCAAGAGAGCTTGTTCCAAGTTAGCAGCCTTACCAATGGATGATGACAGCAATTAACCATTATCCTTTGAAAGTAGTAGGATACTTTCAAGGGCGGCGGCATGTCCGAGCGGACAACACCCTGTATAACAATATTGTCATGCGGCATAGCGTACATACGCAGAGGAGAAGGTCGCGAGCAATGATAGCAGAAGACTTGAAGTGATACCGTGTAAAGGTGCAAGCTATTAAACAATTTTAATTATGTTATGTATTCTGTAAACTTTATGTGAAAGTGTGGGCCCACTATTGTGCGTGTGATAAACTTAAAAGTGAATTTTAACAATTTTACTCCAACTGAAGCGTGCGAATCCAGAAAATCCACGGGGAACACAACATCTGTACAGTCCACTAAAATAAAACGGCGACCAATAAGGTAAGCCCCCCACAACATGTAAGAAATTAAAAAATTTCTTTAAAATTACTACCAAGTTTCATTATAATATGCATGTTTTAATGTGTGCTTTGATATTGAGGAATTTTTTTTATAAAATAATATGTAATACCGAGTAACCACTCGTTTTATAGTAAATCGAGGTCACTAAACACGTTTTTGACAAAATTTTTGACCTGAAGGGCTTTGAGATAATTTTGGTTTCCAGATATCCGAGTGACCAGTCGTTTAATAGTATATCGACGTCAGTGCTACATTGTCATGTTTTGTAAAAATTCCCAGAATAAAAGAAAAACTAAAATTGACAAAACAAGTTCGACTAGCCAGGTTGGACCGGATTTCTTAAATTCTTTTTAATTTTTCAAATATGTCACGTGGCTAGGTGGACCGATCGCGGCGCGTTTCCCACCCGCGGCGAGCACCAAGCTCAGCTTGCTGAGCTTGTTTACATGCATGTTAAGAAGACTCTGTAGTGGGTAAGCAATTCATTTAAATAGTTGATTGCTACGTGGATGACCAATTTGGTCTCGTCTGGCCTTGCTTTAACTTTGACTGGAACTGGCTGAGCTTTGCGTTGATCCTTGTTTTGTGTCCTTGTCCTTGAATTTGGATAATGTTTGTAGCATAAATTTCGTCTGTTATTTCGATTAGTGAATCAATTATTTTTTAATCTTGTCCAACGTGCTGATATCTTCATAAACTTAGTCGTTTACACCAAATACTGACTTTATAAGCTTTCCTAGAAGTCGTCGTTTCGACCTTTTCTAAAAACATTGTGATCCATTTAGCTGCTTTTATTCGGTTTATGAGTGTTCTATAAAAGTCTTGCTTTCCGTTTATTGTGCTAGACCTTGAACCGTGTGACCTTAGTAACAGCTTCCATGTCGTCTTGTAGTTTTACCCAAAGAAATTTTATTTCTATTCAAAAAATTTCTCTTTTTACCTTGGCTTCAGAAATGTGTTCCACATATAAGCTAGTTTCCGGGTAGTTAATGTGAAAGAGCTCTGCAGTTGATGATGAAATTGTTGTTAGGAATAAAATTTCTGTTATAGAAATCTTCCATAAGGTTCCTGGCAAATGTCTT